AAAACATGCTGAATTAAAAAAAATAAACAAAACTAATACTTTGAATTTAAATGACCAAAATAGTATTTAAATAAATAAATAACTATATATATATATATAAACTATGAATTGATATGTTGAGCTTAAATGACTGTAAAATAGCCCTGTCTCCAGTGTTATTAATATATGTATACACCATAGACAACATTTAAAGTGTATCAAAGTTTTCAAATTTGTTTTAAAACAACAGTGGGTGTTGTTTAATAACATTTTAACCACTTCAAATGTTTACTACTACATATATACACTGGAGAAAATAAGTTTGGATTGATTGCAATACTATTTTAGTTTTGTGAATAATCTGATTTGCTCATTTATTTCCCCCTGTTGAAAAAGCACGAGTGAAACCTCATCCTCATTGTTATCTGCAAGTTAATCTGTCATTTAAAGTTTCTCAAAGTGTAGATCAGTGAAGCTGTGAACGTGTATCTGGAGGATCTGCTCTTACCGGAGTGCAGCACAGAAACAGAAGCAGAAGCGGTGCAGAGGAGCGTCTCCGGCCCATCTGCAGCTCCGTCAGCATGGCTCAGTGTTCAGCAAACATCCCTCATCATGCAGAAACACACGGAAGCACAGCAGATCCGCACTGTGTTCACTGCTGTACTGCTGCTGCTGGGAATGATCAGAGCTGCGCAGTTCACTGATGACCCTCCCAGACACACACTCGAACACTCACAGCGCACAAAACACCGAGAACACACAGAGAGGGAACACAGAATACACTCGCAGCGCAGTCACTGAAACAGAGGACACTTACAGTGCACAGTCACCGAAACAGAGAGAAAGCACAGAGAAAACAGAAAACAAAATACACAGAGAAAGCACAGAGAAAACAGAATACACAGAGAATACACAGAGAAAACAGAGAATACTCACAGTGCAGTCACTGAAACACAGAGAACACTTACAGTGCACAGTCACCGAAACAGACAAAACACAGAAAGCACAGAGATGACACAGAGAATACACTCACTGCACAGTCACTGAAACACAGAGAACACTTACAGTGCACAGTCACCAAAACACAGACAAAACACAGAGAAAGCACAGAGAAAACTGAGAATACTCAGAGAAAACAAAAAATACACAGAGAATACACTCGCAGCACAGTCACTGAAACACAGAGAAAACACAGAGAATACACTCACAGCACAGTCACTGAAACACAGAGAATACACAGAATACACAGAGAATAAACTCAGAGCACAGTCACTGAAACACAGACAAAACATGGAGAAAGCACAGCGAACACACAGAGAATAAACTCACAGCACAGTCACTGAAACAAACAAAACATGGAGAAAGCACAGAGAACACACAGTCACCAAAACAATGAGAAAGCACAGAGAAAACACAGAGAATAAACTCACAGCACAGTCACTGAAACACAAACAAAACATGGAGAAAGCACAGAGAAAGTACAAAGAACACACAGAGAACACACTTTCAGTGCACAGTCACCAAAACACAGAGAACACACAGAGAAAGCACAGAGAAAACACAGAGAAAGCACTGAGAAAACACAGAGAAAGCACTGAGAATAAACTCACAGCAGAGTCACTGAAACGCAGACAAAACACAGAGAAAGCACAGAGAAAACACAGAGAAAGCACTGAGAAAACACAGAGAAAGCACTGAGAACACACAAAGAAAACACTTTCAGTGCACAGTCACCAAAGCACAGAGAAAACACAGAGAAAGCACAGAGAATAAACTCACAGCAGAGTCACTGAAACGCAGACAAAACACAGGCAAAACGCAGAGAACACAGATTAAACTCACAGCACAGTCACCGAAGCACAGACAAAACACAGAGAAAGCACAGAATACACAAAAAAATACACAGAGAACAGTATCTGAAACACAGAAAACACACGGAGAAAACAAGGAGAAAACACTCACAGCACAGTCACCGAAACAGAGAAAACAGAAAGCACAATGCACAGTCACATAGAGACAGAGAACACACAGAGAAAACACTCACAGCACAGTCACTGAGTCACAAACAAAACAAAGAGATTACACAGAGAAAACACAATAACCAAAGCAGTGAAAACACTCACAGCACACATTAACTGAAACAGACAAAACAGAGGAAATAGTGAAGACAGAGAGGGACAATAAAGACACAGATGACAGAGAAACACAGAAAAAAGATGAAGAATGCAATGACAGAGAGAAAACACAACAGAGAAATCCCAAAAGAAACACACAGTAGACAAAGTATGCCAGAAGCACGGGTAATTTAAATGCACATATTTATCATATTACTGGATTTTTATATCTTATTTTCACTAAATAATTGAATGAAATCTCTTATTTTAAAGCAAAATCAATGTAACACTCCTCATTGTCAGATTATTTTGCTTGTTTTAATGAAAAACTCTTCATTTTCACTCAATATTTCTGCATATTTTTTGCATTGATTCTTAAAACTATTTCGATTTAAAACTCCAGAAGTCCAGAAACTAGAGTAAACAAAAAGCACTCAATAGGTCTGCTTCCCTCATGTGGTACGCCATGTTAAACATGATTAATGATGATAAGAGCATTTGTTCGTCTGCTAATTTAAAAGACACAAAGCTGTCAGTCACAGGCAGCGAATGCGTTTCTGTCTCCATAAATTAGTGTTATTATGAGGAACACAACACCAGCCATTCATCAAATAAAGCTAATAAATAACAGCGGACGTCTTGTCCTCTCACTGTACGAGCAGCAGACGTAAATCCTTCACTCGTTACCTGCCATAACGCATCATTAGCAGCTTTTAACTCTGTACGCTAATTAAAACTCCATTCAGGAACGTCGATCATCATACATTAACAAAATGGAAAATAATTGCATTGAACATCCACAAACTTACACATCTAATAGAGCTCAAACTTCTAAACGAGACGTGCATCATGCAGATATTTAAATATCAACATTAATGACTAATTAATCTGAATGAAGAACACAGAATGCACATTAATGGAATATAAAGGTCAAATATATGTAGACATTCACCAATACTGATATTGAAGGCACTTCCATATGCTGATTATTTAACCTTTTACAATGTTTTAAGGCAATATGGTGGCGCAGTGGTTAGTATAGTTGCCTTACAGCAAGAAGGTCTCTGGTTTGAGTCTCGGCTGGGTCAGTTGGTGTTTCTGTGTGGAGTTTGCATGTTCTCCCCGTGTTGGCGTGGGTTTCCTCCGGGTGCTCCGGTTTCCCCCACAGTCCAAACACATGCACTATAGGGGAACTGATCAACTACACTGGCCACAGTGTATGTGTGTGTTCTGGTCCTCCAGATTGGGGGTTGATGTAACAGCTCGCCTCTTATAAGGATGTTAACAGACTCTAATATGGTGAGGCTAAATATCAACTTCAATATATGGCCCAGGGAGTAGGTAAGAGTGTTTTTAAGTCATTTTATTTGCATTGGTGTTCATAGCAGCATCAAATACTCAGATAAATAACGTGTTAATTAGCTCAGTAGTTGAAAATTGAAAATATACAGTATATCAAAAGCTATATGAAGTATATCAAAGCTTCAGCAGATAATCAGGAGAACTTGACGATTCATAATGAAGTCTGTGATTTACAAGCTGTTGAGACATTATTATGACGATACTGCTGAAGATGAAGAGCGCTGAAAGACTGACTCTGCAATATAAACCTCTCTCCTGGTGTGTGTGTGTGTGTGTGTGTGTGTGTGTGTAAATGAGCTGCTGTGTGCGTTTCTCCACGTCTGCAGATGTAAACAGACTGAACTCCTGCAGTCGGACAGTCTGAAGCTGAAGTGTGTTCTCATGATCTCTCACACAGGGTCAAGAAGAGCTGCAGATACACTGAAGACAGAGGATCAACACACACACACACGCGCACACACACGCACACACACACACACACACACACGCACACACACACACACACACACACGCACGCACACGCACACACGCACACGCACACACGCATGCACACAAACATATATCCATACCAGCACACACAGACATGCGCACACACACGCACACACACACACACACACACACACACACACACACACACACATATATATATACACAAAAATACATACACATACAGACAGACATGCACACAGACACACACATGTACACACATCCACAAACTTGCATAAACATACACAACATACAAATATATACACGCATGCATACTGTATATACACACACACACACACACACACGTAAAAACAAATATACACACACACAGGTGCATACACAAACACAAATATACACACAAACATAGGCCCATGCACACAGACCATGCACACACACACACATGCACTCAAACAAACACACACACCTTTGGGAAACTGATCCATTATTATTATTGTAAAGTAGCATCACTCAAATACATGCAGTGTCTGTGAGCAGAGTTGGCTTCTGGAAGACATTAAAGGCACAGTTCACCCAGAAACAGTCTGATCCTGTCGTCATTTACTCTCCCTTTACTTCTTTTAAACATTTGAGTTTCTTTCATCTATTGAACACAGAAGAAGATACTTCGATGAATGATGAAAACCTGTAACCACTGACCTCCATACTAGGAAAAACACATGGAAGTCAATGGTTACCAGTTTTCAGCATTCATCAAAATATCCTCTTTTGTGTTCAACAGATGAAAGAAACTCAAAGGTTTAAAAGGAGGAGTGAAGAGTGAGTAAATGTACATTTTCTGGATGAACTATCCCTTTAAAATCGACAGTGTTTCCACACACTGGACTGGTGGTGTGTATAAGATCTGAGCGCTCAGTGAATGAGTTTCCAGCGTTTACTCTGTGAAGAGTCGGAGCGACGGGAAGCACCTAAAAGCCAGCATAAATCTCTCGCTCTGGATTCCACATGACCTTGCGAGTAATTTTTCCTGTTTTTTTCGCAGCTCTTTTATTTCCCATCAGGACGTGATGCGGGCCGCTGTGCACATGTGGATGTGTGTTG